CCCCCCCCCCCCCCCGACAGCCCCCCTACATCCGTCGCTGCAATACATACAGTGCACAACTGGAGCCATTCCATAGTTTTCCTGGCTCTCAGGCTCCTGGGACATCCAACACAACTGGTGTCACACCTACAACAATCAGCTCCACTTCAGCCAATTAATCAATACTACTATGTGTGAGATGCCTGTAACTGGTCATTTATACAGTGACATTTAACACAATCAGTGTCACACCCACTTGTAACATTTTATCAATATATAGGTCAGCCAACAAAGTCATCTACCAGATTACACTAGACTACATATTTCCTGTCAAATGGCAAAAAAAAAAAAAAAAAAAAAGTTGTAAAAAGGGGGTTATTAAAACTCTCTATATTACTGACTGCAGGTTAGGTATTCATATGATGAATACAGGCAATGACTTATAAACTGACTGCATTAAGATTCAACAGTCATTACATTAACTGACGCTATGTATGATATTAAAACAGGTCAGGCACATGTCATGAATAATGACAATGAGTTTTGAACCGAGGGTCACTAATATTTTTGTCTGACAGTAACTTCAACTGACACAACTGGGTCATCAAAAAAGCAGGCTTGGTGTGCACTTTATCATCAGTTCTACTCACAACCCCAGTTTCATCATAGTATCCTTCATGCCAACACATGTTATATTACCATCTCAATACTATCATAACCCAAGTGAATAGGGTCCATAAATTATCATGAGTGGTCTAATCTATGCTTTTAGTTCCTATGGATACTTATAATATTTACAATATATTTGACATGTGAAACCCTCAAGTATTTCATTCTAGATGTAAACAGAGCAGATTTAGAAGAGCACTTGACCCAGCTAATGTGACAAATATGCAAAACTGATAGCCTGAGATGAGCTCCTCATGTAGAGTATGTAACATTAGGACGTGTCAATACTAAACACAAGATGTTATATACTTATCTGGAAGCCCACGATAGTAAGACAGCTTATGCAGAGGCTAATACGTGCTGAAGTGATATCAGTATTTTTCACCTTGAGACATAAGAAGACAGGCAGGCATTGAAATATAGTATTACTGAATATTGGCTGGACTGTCTAGACTTCAAAGACTTGGAGATGTTGCGTTGATAGCAGATTCTGAAGCACCTCAGATTGATACCAAAAAAGAAGTCTCCAGACTTCCTCAGAACAGTCCAGGGAAGAGCAGACAACACTACAATAAGTCAAAGGACAGTGTTGCAGACATTCCATGAAAAAATATTTAACCTTTATTGGTGGTGGAAATACACAACTGTGAATATACGTGTGTAATACTGTGCAGTTACTGTTGTATTTTAAACTTTTATGAACAGAAGTAACACACTATTATCAAGTATTGACTTTTTTAAAACTGTGACAACACAAAGCATGGCATCAAAGAATGGGGAATACAAAGCATGCACATGTAGACAAACCAAACTGGTGGAGAAACTGTTCAAGTTGAAAACAGAGCAGATTGAGATTAAAGAGGAAGTGGAGATAGTGTCCACTCCAAATCAAACACGTGCACTCTTAGGTCAGAACAGAGGTGAGACTGATGACTACACGACGGACAGCGATTTACAGATAGAGAATTTGAAGCAGGTTAACGAAGCCTATAAAAGAGAAAACAAAGAACTATTGGAAAGATGTAGGTTATTGGAAAGGGAGAAAGTGGATCTTCAAAATAATCTTCAAAATTTCAGAAACCAAGAAGCCCAACAGCTTTCAGAGGATACTCAAACACAGAACTCAAGTATGAAAGAGTTGCTAACAAAGAAACTGCCTGACTCTTTGAACAAGCAAAAGCTAGCTTTTGTGGGTATGATAACAGTTCTGCTTATTTCTATGTTGATTCCTGTGTTTGCTAGATTCTTCTCATCATTCTGATCATTCCAAAATGAAGAAGCACTGAACAATAATTTCAGTCACTCTGGAAATGTTCTGGTTTTCTATATGTAATATAAGTATAGTCTACATGTGAGCCATGATAAGGAAAACTTTAACAAAAGTTTAAGGACATGACAAAAAAAAAAAAAAAAAAAAAAAACAAAGGGGGGAAACACCTGAAATTGACAGCGACTTTCAGTTGCAACAAATATATGTCAGGAGGGCAGGTGGCATATGTGGTGGCAGGTGGCAAACAGACGATAAGTGATGTTATATCAGGAGACAATGAAATGTCACTCATCCTTCAATTAATGATTAACAGGAGAAAAAGTTAACNACTCCTGTGAGTTTCATGACAACAGGCTTAACGGTTTTCCTTAAAATGTGTTTACAGGGTTGCATATATGCTGAAAAAAGTGAAAAAACAGCATAACTTCCCTTAAAATGGCCCGATCATGCTGATTTTCGAACTTGACCTGCGTTTTATGAATATTCATCAGGTCTGTAAATATTAAGCCAAAAAGTAAAACTGCCCTCCACTTATCGTGTTTACAAGGAAAGTGCACGGCGCCGGCGACGGCATCGGCATCGGCATCGGCATCGGCGATGACAGACGCAGGTGATGGCAATATGTACAGACACATCTGTGTCTGTACATAAAAATAAACATGCAATGAGGCTGAAAATATATTGAGAAAAGTAAACAGCCAGCAAAAGTGACATAATGTAATGTAGATTTGAAGCTTGAAATAAAGGAACATAATTAAATCACAGTCAAGATGACACAAAATGTTACCTCAGTTTCTGAGAATTGAAGCACATTATGTGATTCAACATGATCTGATTGTCTTTAATTATAAGACTGTCCAAAAGCATTTTCCTCCCTATAAAATAATTTTCTCTTCTCCCTATAAAATACTCTCCTTAATTTCATATCCCATTATGAAAATAACTGAAATGTACAGCAATGATCTTAGCTATCATTTGTTCTTTTAAATCAAACATGTTGAGGCAGAAGAAGTAAAAAAAAATCTGAATTGGCTAAACTAAGAAATATAATCTAAATCAATGACAAAACTGAAGAAAAAACAGTAAAAGCATTTAACATATCCTTAGCAAAGTTAAAGAAGCATTAGTCTAAAATTTACTATACAAAAAGCAGTTTCACAAGAGACCCCAAGACCATAAGTAAACTTAAAGATGGAATAATTTGACCTACTTTAATTATGGATATATCTGTATAAGTCAACTAAAATAAATTAATAACCGATCTAATACGTGATAAGTTATTTATTTCTTTTTATAAAACACTCATAACATTTCATTTCAGTGAACTACCACTGCATTACCTCATGTCAAAGTAGGCTAAACATGACACTCCTATAGCTAAGTCCAACTTCTCATCTCAAAAAGTTCTTCTATACTTAAAGACTAAATAACAAGAGACAACCACATCTTAGACAAGAATACTGTTCTGTGACCAGAAATTGGTCTTAGCTTTAAGAATATTTTATCATCCTAAAGAGACCCCTAAAAGCCACTTTAATAGTTCTGATCTCAAGTTCCTTCATAGAACTGAACCAGGAAGACACCCCTGTACCTGCATATTCCAGTTGTTCTTGGCAATCCTCCTGAGCTGGTTCCTGGCCCTGGGGGTCTGCTTCAACACCATGTAGGCTGCCGCCATGCCATACAGGGCTCCCACATGGTCTCTCTGGAATAGAAGCAGTTTTTAAATTACCTCTATTGAAAAGAATGTTTTATATGATTTCTCTGGAACAGAATCAGTTTTATAGTACCTCTCTGGATTAGAATTAGTTTTTAAATTACCTCTATTGAAAAGAATGTTTTATATTATTTCTCTGGAACAGAATCAGTTTTTATAGTACCTCTCTGGGTTAGAATTAGTTTTTATAGTATCTCTCTATAATAACATAATCATTTTTTTTTAGAATTATCTCTCTAGAATATCATATTTGCAATGTCTTTGGAATAAAGATCACCTTGAAATAATTGTCAGCCAAAAACTGGGAAAAATATCACACAGAAATGAAACTCAAATGAGAATCAATACAAACCTGATAAAATATTACTTTTTATCAACAAAAAATCTGCCAATTTAATTACACAGTTGAGGCAAATCACAACTAGTATTCAAGAGAGTATATATATATATATTAGACTAATGACTTTGATCTCTTGCATGGCAACAAATGCATATTCATAGTATACAACAGCTCTGATCATGACCTTTGACCTCTGACCTACCTCAGCAGATGCAATCTCCATGAACGCTGCCAGAGCCTTCTCAATGTTCTGCTTGTTCTTGGTGGCAATCAACAACATGTTTTCCAGGAGTCGGGGCCGGATGTCACCGGGTCGTTGTCTCAGCTCTTTGATCAGTTTCTCCGCAGTTTTTACTGCCAGCTGCTCACTGTCTGCCCTCTCCGCTGCTGAACTGTAAAGAGAAATAAAATAGTGTGATGTTTACCTCAGTTTTTTAAAAAAATATTTGCTGTATGATATTCATGGCCCTGAATCCATTTATCTTGAAATTATCTAAATATAATAAAATACAAAACTATATCATACCAAATTGAATTTTCCCTATAAAAAAAACATTAGTCTACAAGTCAGCTTACTCAGCATTGTCCATAGTTTCAAACACTTCTCCTCCAATGATATCATTATCAGGGTTCAGACAGATCTCTATCATACAGTATATTGCCTCCTGGCCCCAGTCTGTGTCCTTCCTGGCCTTGTTGAAGTACTTCAGGGCATTGTTGGGGTTGCCTGTGTGCCTAGAATAGGGACAGGCCAGATGATATTTAAGATAGGTTAAAGGAGACACATCTTTTTGAGAAAAAGAAACATGTTTCATTCATTTACAGAATCCATTTGACAAAATGCAGGTAAATTTTGAAGCTGAGACAGTGAAATTTGTTCAGTAAATGGCAATTATTTCTGAGCTAGTACTCTTAGACCCCAGTGCTCCAAAAGGGCCAATGGGCCATGGCGTTTTTGGAATGGACCATCAATCCCAAAAAGTTGCATTTAATTTACTCTGTCAAAAAATAATACAATTGGCCCCTTTATCTTTATTCTAATATTCAAAATCACAGTACTCACCATTCATACAGTCCCTTGCAATAATTATAGCCTGGTTCTGTGGCAGTCTTTGGCGAGAAAGTTTCAGCTTTTTCCAAGAACACTGGCACCTCGTCCAATTTTCCTCCACGTCGCATGAGGTCAACCAGGCGTGCCAAAGCTTCAAAGTGATCTGGCGCACGCTGCAGAAGTTGTTGGAAATGAAACATGGCTGCATCATAGTCATTTTTGCGGAACATCAGGTCAGCCATCATCTGGGAAAGAAAAATGATTAAAAATCAATTAAAGACACCACTGAAATGTTATGGTTTGAGATTTAGTAATACTATACCTAGATGACTGAACAGAAAGCATTTTGGTTCATGAAATTACAGAGGACAACGTTTTATTGACTCAGAGAAATTCAACATATATAAATTATATAATTTTCTTTTAAGAAAACAGGATCCTACATGTTTACAGTCATACTACTGCTTTCTCTTTCTATCTGTGTGTAGAATATATATATATATATATATATATATATATTTATATATATCTAATAAGAGAGAGAGTTAGAGAGAAACTGACCACAGTTGCAGCATCATTTTGTTTCTCATTCTTCAGCAAGGCCATGAGTTGGTGTTGACAGGCATTCAGATCATCTGTTAACATGTACAGCCTGGCCAGCTCTATAGCAACCTGAGGGGAAAGGAAATAAATAAAATATATTTGACAGTAAAATTTGATTCAAATGCTTAATTCAAATACATTTAGACAGTAAAATTTGATTCAAATGCTTAATTCAAATACATTTAGACAATAATCTTAACCCCCTCCCTGTTTTATTGAAATTATCCCTAGCCTATTAGTGCACTTTTCATGGATTTGGTTTCTTTTTTTGTATTTTTTTTCAGCAGACATAATATAAAATCCCTCGCCTTTTCATCATTCTCATTGTAGACCAGAGCTTCCTTGTAGTACTTTATAGCCTTCTCATAGTCTCTCTGATCTGAGGAGTGCTTGGCCATCTGGCTGCAGATACTGGATGGGGGATACAATGGAGAAGCTGAGTACATACATAATTCACAAGGTATTTACTTAACAGATCTCTATATAACAACAAATGTACAGGCAATTTGCACTCAATCATATCTTATCTGTGCATATGCCTACATCTTGTTTCTGTGGTCTGCTAAACAACATACTGACCTCAGCCTAATCAATAATTGTATAATTATACTTTTCCCCATAATAACAATTATATTTAAACCTTTATTTAAAATCTCTACATAAAGCACAACCCTTCATTCTCATCAGAGTGCCAGATTTCACCTTTTATTTTTTCAAAACTTTATTAAGTTATCTTTACATCCTTATACTGAATAAAAAAAAGAATTGTGACAAGTCAAAATACATTAAGAGCACTGCTCCACCATGATACATTACCTGGCTGCTAACTGTTTCTGAGCTGGCACTGCATCTGGCTGCTCCATGTGCACTCTTTTCAATACCCTGTGGAGTGATGTTAATCAATTAATCAAATAATTTGTTTATCTATCCATTCATACATTTACAAACTTATCTATTTATTTTCTACATTTTAAGGTTTTTCCACTGACAGTGATAACATTGATGTGAATTGGACAGAATTTTTTTATGAATAAATTGTTATAAGTATTAACTTAAAAAATATTTTTTCTTTAAAAGTTGACATATTTTTCCTTCCTTTCCTGTTTGTTTTGTTTCTCCACAAAGAATGTTCACATTTGTTTACTGTTGACTAAAAATGTAATGTTGTCTTATGTATTTTTTAAAAACCTTAAACACATTGGTTGCAAAGCAAACCGTACCTAGCTTGCATGTCCCTGGCCTTATTAAGTGCCTCTACTGACTGTTCAAATTCTTCTCTGTGAGTGTGCACTTTGGCTAGCAATACCAAATATTTGGTCTGTTCTATCATCTCTTCAAGCTTAGTCACTGAAACAGAAGCATAATTATCTTCAAATTTAAAATAATGGTTTTATAATTAATTAAAACAGCTATACTTGTTATTATAATTGTGACTTTGAATACACAGCACAGCTGATGAAATAACTTGCTGGGCATAATTATGATTATTTTTAGGAGTAGGCTGATAGAGTTGTACTGCTTATTGGGACTAATATTACTCTTGAACACTGGAAAAACATTTACAGGCATAAAAAAGCCTGTAATAGTCACTGAACTTATTGAAATATAATAACAAACTTAGTTTTGATAAAACTACTTAACAGTGCCTTTATCATTTATGAAGAGAATTAAAACCAGATCACAATGCATGCAAATGAAGCTCATTTGGAGTGTCCAGCAACATCTATCTGCCTTCTACAACAGGTAAGTGTTATCATACTGAAACCTCAAGGTGAGCACAATTTCCATTGGGTAAGATCTGCTTTTAGTTATCTCCCAATTTTCATCTTTCTTTGAGTTTTTTTTTTTAAAGGCACAGCAAGTGGCTTTGTTACCTGCTCCTGCCTGGTCCAGTGCCTGCAGTAACACCTTCTGTGCCTTGTCATACTGTCTCAGCTTCAACAGAAGCTCTGCCAGGTCATACCTAGATTACAACAACATCTGCTTTAATACGTAAAACTACAGAATAAAATGGGTATTATCACTGGGCATGATCAGCAGCCTCTTTTGTGTGCCTAGTGACATTGCCTCATCTTTGAATTCTGCAAAATTATTTTGATTTTATGGATTATAATAACAACAATTCGAGTATGTCACAGTTAAAAAAAGAAAACATAGACAGCACTACAATACTGCCTCAGCATAACGATTCCTTCATAATGCAATTACGTACCATGAAAAATAATATAGTTTAAAGGGATAATAACTCTTCGTATGAGATCTATATTTCACAATAAAAACATTGTGAATAACTCATAGAAATATAATATATTCTGACTACAAAAACGGCAGTTATAGCTATTATTCTGATATCTGAGCTTGTCTTTAGACCACGTGACCTCCATTGATGGCTATATTCTGTTAGAATCTTTTAAGAGATTTTAACAAAAAAGCAAACTTTTTAGAAACAAACCAGGGACTAACTTTGATTGTAAAAATGGATTCATTAACCATTGGTAAGTATGGGAAAATTGTTGTTTACTCCAGGAAAATTCATTTTTTGGCCGAAATGAAGAGATGTTCATTATCCCTTTAATGCAATTGTGCTGTATATAAAATGCACTTCTTTCCTTGTGTGTGTGTGTGTGTGTGTGTGTGTGTGTGTGTGTGTGTGTGTGTGTGTGTGTGTGTGTGTGTGTGTGTGTGTGTGTGTGTGTGTGTGTGTGTTTGGG